TTACTAGTGACAAGTTTATGATACCCCGAACGACTTGAAATATACGAAACTTTTGTGACTTATTGCCCATCTGATGTCTGCCTACTTAATTTGGTGCCTGCGACCTGCAAATGGCAATTTTTAATATGTTTTCAAGAAATTTCGTAAATTGGCATTGATCGAAATTCGGTGCCGGGTGAGTACTATTAAAAATGTTTTAATGTTTCATGAGAAATGTTTTATGGAGTAGGGTCCATGGAATAGACCCACGTAGGTCACATTTGATCCACATAAGTTTTACGTCTAATTACTGCCATGAATAAATTTTCATAATAAAACATTAACAATTAAGTGTTTTTAGCCTATAAAGGTTTACATTTCCTGAGAACCCTTACATCTGTTGGTGTCCCAAAAATAGATGTATGTGGTTCAAATTCATTAAGGTTGATTTCTTTGTTCATCTATTACTATGAACCAATTTTCACCATGAAATAACAAAAATGAGAACTTTTTACCTTATAAAGATTTAGTTTTCGTAGGAACGGTGTTATGAGAGAGGACCAAAAAAGTGCCCTAGCCAAACCAACTTTTTGATACACTTCTTTTCCTAAAATAAGTTACTTTCTTAAAATAAGCTATTATATTGGGAGTGGTCGGAAAAGTGGACCCATTCGAACAATTTTTGATATCATACGTTCTTGGGTGAAAACAGGTCAGTGTATCATATTTCGTGAAAATATTTCAAACCTGCTGATTGAACGCAAAAATATATGGGGAGACAGACAGTCGGGCAGAAGAGCTAAGATCGAATCAAAATCACTTTCTGATCATCAACCGAATCATTTTCGGTGAAACAAAAGGTTGGTCTGTCTTAAGCCCTTCCCGATGTTACTTGCGTTCGCACAAACTCAATGTACCCTGGTGTAGAGTATAAAATGATACGCAAAAAAAAAATAGTAAAACCCGCTTTACAAATGGTAATGGAATGTTTCTGATTCAATGCACCCTTCCTTATATTATGTGTATATATTCCAATTGTCCTCAATGTTGTTCTCTATTCCGAATTTGAAATTATTTGGACACGTTCAACTAGTTAATAAACTCTAGCGCTTGACTGATAAATGCATTTTTTGAATTAGCAATTAATATATTGACTTATAATTGTGCACGTAATCTAATCTACATGTTAGACTTGTCGCATTCTAAAGCAAGCATTCAAATCAATTTTTCCCAATCAATTCGTATGATATTCACGTAATGTACTTGAAGACAGACTTAAGTGTTTCAATGCGATTCTCATAAGATGAAAAACCCGCTCCGGTCGCTATCTGCAATTTTTCGATGTAATTACGTTTAATTATTTCAAGCATGACAGAAATCATTAACTTTTTTTTCTTGAACCTTAATAACTTAATACATTTTTCTATTTACACATGAATTGGATTTTTCAGAGAAAATGTGATCATAAAGAAATTCCAAATAATTCCTGTTAATAAATACTTTATAAAAGTTTTTATGCAATTGTTTTGTATTTTAACGAAATCTAAAAAGCATATCAGATATTCAAAGTCCAAGGTAAATAAAATTGCATCCATTTGTACATAGGATATATGTATTAAATTTAAGGTCTGTATCCATTATCTGAAGCAATTTTGTTGGCGCGATAAACACCCAATTCCGGCTAGAGGAAGTCTACGGTATGTGTAGATTCAAAGTTTCAATCTCTCTGACTTCCTTTTCACAGTTTCGATGGTTGAAAATCTATGCCTGCTTGGTCACGGTTGAATTGATTCAATTTTCAAAAGTATCTATTATCATGAAGCAGTCATATAACCTCTTCATCACTATGTATTCAAGTGAGCAAAGAGTTTTAGTACTTCCATAAAAATTCGTGTAAAGATAAGGCACCTTATCAACAATTGTTGTTTATAATGAAAAAAATTAGATGTAGTTTTTTTTTCAATTTTTATATTGAGTATATAAAATCCCGAAAAATGCGCATTTAACGCCCCGAACAATATATAATATATATGTTTTTGATTAATATGTATTTGCTTCCGGGTCGATTTGTTCAAATGTTCGTGCGTTTGTTGTTTGACGTTCGCAGTCAAGTTTGAAATCGGATATTACTCCTGCATACATAAATGAATGCATAACAGTGCATTTTCACAATTCCATAAATAATCTAACATTCGTACCTATAGTCGATTTGAAAGATGGCTTACACATACATATTGGTTAAAGACGTTTAAAACGATTGCATAGGAATGATAATAAAAAAATATTTAAGTTAATGGTTATCTAAGTTTCGCCATCAGACATGTATTGCTTTCTTATTTTCATTTTATTTTATTAAGCTTCTAGCTACTTAGTGGTATCCCCTTCTATTATACCGATCGCTGTCTGTCTGTCTGGCTTGTATTCCTGGTTTCAATCTATAAGTCGCAATTTTTGAGATACTTCAATGAAACATGATATGATCTGATTTAACCCAACGACGAATGCCAATAAAATTGGTTCGAATCGGCCCACCTTTTCGACCACTCTACATACAACGTCTAATTTTGAAAAGTCTTTACAGGGAAAAGAATCGCAATTTTCAAAATTTTGAAAATTGGCTCATAATAGTAAATTGACAAAGATTTCTGCCTTACCGAATTTGGACCACGTGGGCCTATATTCTTGATACGTAAACCTTTATATGCCAAAAAAGCCTAATTGCTAATTTTTTTGTAACGAAAATTTGCTCATTATAGTAATTAAGTAAAACAAGTAAGAAAATTGAATTCGGTCGGGACTGAATTTTTTTAGACCCATCACCGTTTAGACAAAAGAAGTAAAAGAGCATAATTCTTATGCTCTATAATTTGTAGCGGACGCAGTAGATTTCTTCTATTTTCAAAATAAATATTTTTGTCGCAGAGGCATGTGGACGTTGTAGGCGTGTCCCTTGAAAAGTTTAGGTCAATTCCAAAGTCTTTTGCAAATTTTTAGGCGATATCTTCATTTTCGCCAACGGGAGAATGTTTACCGCAAATACTACAAAGTTGCGCAAAAAGACATGTTTAGGTGCATTCAAGGGTTGTAACTGGCCAAGGCTTTGAATACTTTATGGGGTTTTTGAATCTTGTTTCTGCGTATTATAAAGGTATTGAAAAAATATTTAAATTTCGATACACTATAATATTAAGTAGGCGTGGTCAATTTTTTCCATTTTTGTACACAGATGCTACAACATCGGTCGCAGAATATGCGTTTAAATTTTTTCACATTTATTTGCTACAGTTTATGAGTAACGAGCCAAAAACCCATTTTTTATTCCCTTTGAAAAGCAGATGTGTTCTCAGTTTACTTGTTGCTGTGATGCTAAACGCTGTTCCTCTACTGATTTGGCCTACTTTCAATTCCAACCTGCGTGGAAGAATTTCCAATATTTTTGTCAAATTTGAGGTGAATAGCTTCATTTTTGCGGCCACGGGAATGTTTACAACAGAGAATACGCATACGGGGACAGACGGTCAGAGGGACATATTTAAATCGATTTAGAATTTGAGGCTGATCAAGAATATGTGGGGTCTCTGATGTTTCCTTCTGGGGATTGCAAACGTTTCGACAAAATGAATGTACCCCTCCTCCTTCGGTGATGAGTACAAAAATTAAGTGGATCTAATTTGAATGTCATGAGTCTATTTCTTCCGCCACTCCATATACAATATTTTAATAATTTGTAGGAGCATTTCAGCAAAAAATATTAACGGTAGAGAATTTGGATCATATAGGCCTATTTTCTTTGGACCCGAAAATTTATAGGCGCTATCAATGCAAATTTTTATTATGTAGAGAAAATATAATAAATGAGAGAATAAATCGGAAATAATCCGATCAAGACCATTTTTGCAACGAGCAGGCAAGTGCGTCTGGGCAGACATTTACTCACGGTATCGATAGGTATGGGGTTAAAGGTTGCTTTAGTTTCTTCTAATATCTAATGAGCTTGCGTGTGAATATTTCACGCACATTTTTAACCACATGTTACTGTTTTTATTTTTGCGACCCTAGCGAGTTTCGGTAAAAACAGGTAGACCGCGTCTAGAATTCTTCTCATATATATGTTTGCTGTGTCAAATCATTAAAAACCCGTATACAATATCGGTGAAGATATTCGCTTGCTTATGCAGAATCCTTGAGCTTGAAGTCATAAACTCGTCAAATTGACAGATGCGAAAGGAGTAGTGTTAAAAGAGTAGGCGTCTCTGTGAAAACAGACTATAGGGTATAAGGATAAGCGCATGAATATGAATAAAATTTAACGTATGAAGGGCGCTTAGGGACGAGTTTCCTTAATTGGCAAACCTAATCCAATTATTGTCGCAAAAATGCGTTTATTGCAATGGCCACGATTTTGAGCGTGATAACAATAGGCGGGCAGGTAAGTTTCCCTGTTCTAAATATAAAGAAATGATTTTTCCGATTTTTAAAAAATATTTTATACAATTTTATTTGTTTTTCTATTATTAAAATTTTACAAGTTAAGTATTCAAAATAGTTTTTTATAGCCATAGTTTAGTTTTGCTTCATTATAATTAATTAATAATTTCGCTATAAATTTCGGTTTATGCATCGACAAATTCATTTAACTAAACTAAACTAAACCAAAATAAGCAATTGTAATATTTTAAAGAAAGAAATACGTCAAAATAATCCATCGCATAGAGCAGATGCGTTAAACATGAAAATATTTTAAGTAGGATTAAGTACCGCTTTACTTCTCTTTTCCTTTTCATTTTTTATTAATCATTGTGTGTGTGTGTGTGTGTGTGTGTAAAGCCATAATTATTTGGACTTTTCTTTTTCAAAAATTTCACTTAAGCACATAAAGCATTTGAAAACGATCAAAAATTTAACTTAGTTCTAAATATATCTTTCAATTTGTATACAAGAATAGATGTTAACGTGTACATTTTTTATTTCGCCTTTTAAAAAACTTTATTTCAGTGACGGCTTAACTTGTATTTGTTTGATTTTTTTTTTTTTTTTTTGTTCCTATCTTACTTTTTATGGCTTACATTGTCCTCTCGACTGGCTACTGCTGCTACTAAAGCCGCACCCCGACCAGAACCGTCTTCAGAAAGCATTAACTCGAAAGTTAAGCCTGGCTTAACAATTTGTGCAATCTTTTCCACCATTAAACGATGGAATTTCGGATGGAAGCGATAAACACTGCCATCCACGCCAACAGTAACATGGGGTTCATTCATTTTGTTAATCAACGTAGCAATACCACATGACACTAAATGGGCGGCTCGTTTCGAAACGCATTCGCAGATATAACGAACATTGGCACAATCATCATCAGTAACTTCAGTTAGACCGAGCTCTTCTAGAACCATATGACAATTGCTGTATGTATCGGGTTCATCAGCTTCAATTTCGGAAACGTATTTTGTAAAAAATTGGCCACGCGTCATTAGAACATCTGAGCTACGTCCCTTGAACAGTACACCAGCCTGAACCATTTTCACCATAATTAATCGCACTAATTCGCCCATGTACATACCGGAAATCATTTTCTCAAATATTTGTTGACCGGGATTAATCGAATGACGATCGATTTCTTCATCGAATTCCGTGCGTACGAAATTCAATGAGCCATTATTGCCAAAGGCCCCCCATTCGGTGTTTATAACTACATGGGGTTTGCCATGTGTATCGCCGTCAAACATTTCACATTCCTTTACTTGCTCCACATAGCAAGCATTTGAACCAGTACCGACAATTAGACCAATTTTACAACTAGGATTCTTCCAGGCACAAGACATCAGAGTGCCGGTTGTATCATTAAGTATAGCGCAGACATCGATCTTGATATCCCCTCTCCGGGCTATCGCATCTTTAAGCAGTTGTACTACATCCTCGTTTACTACGCCTTCACAATTGAAGCCCTTTGTCCAAGTTACAAGTAAGCCTTTAGTGAGCCCTAGTTGCTTTAGTGGAAACGAAAATGTGAAGCCCAATGGTAAACATTCATATTTTACTTGGTGTTCAGTCACGAAATTGCACAAGCATTCCGCTATATGATCAAAAAGTTGTTTACCTGAGCCTACCATTATATGCTCTGGTATGGCATAAATTCGCGATTCCATTTGAAAGTCATGCTCCTCCTTCAAATGAATAAGTAATACACGGAAATTTGTGCCACCAAGATCAAGAGCCAAAAATTTGCCACGTTCCTTACCATTTGGCAAGTCTTGAACGTAGGTAACGAAGCACTTTACATCAGCTTTTTTATGAGTTTCCTTTGCCAAGCCGTTCTTAATTTCATGCAGGATACGGCGAGTCAATTCTTGATTTTGCTCGTCCGTAAGCACTAATTGTTGACATAAATCAAGGATCATTTTTCGTTTCTCCGCCACACTAGCACTCGCAAACGATTCTATTGCTCTTTTGTGGCATAAAATATTATCATCGTTAACTGCTTCTGAGGAGGTAGCTTTATTACTGACACGGCTAACAGATTTGTCCGTTTCGTCACTACAGTGGCAACTAGTGCATTGTAATTCTTTGCTATTATTATTGTTATTCATTGTCAAGCCATTTGGCAGAGACGTAAAAGCGATTTTAGAGGCCACACATGGGCAAGATGCACGCTTTTGTAATTTACATGCACCAACATTGCAACAGCCGTTGGACATTGATGCTTTGCCACATTCACTATTAATAGATACCTTTTGCATTTTTACATTCAGTTCTCTTTCCACTTTCAATATATTCTCAATACTCCTTAAATACTTTTAATTTATTTGGCAGTGTTTTTTTTTTTTAGTTTTTTTTTTTTTTTTTTTACCTCTTTATCTATTGCGTTCACTTTAATTAAACACGTTTTCGTTTTTTTTTTTTTTTTTTTTTTTCAAAGCTTTGTGTAGACGGTATG